AACACTCCTAAGACCCTATCCAAGGCTACTCTAACAGCCCTTAGAACTCAGACCAAACAACCCCCATGCAGCCCCAAGAAGCCCTACACCAAGTCTACAATAGCTCCCAAATTTTTAGGGCGCTCTTCTCACGGTGCAACAGCCCTTCATTCCTTCATTTTCCCCCTCAACCGCCAGCAAGCAAAGGAAGAATAGGTCTGTAACATACCCCCCATAAATAGGCTCCAACTCCCCTCTCCTCAATTCAAACTTTGCAGCCTTAAAGCCCTCTATATAAAGCCACAAATGCAGCAGCCGCCTCTCCATTTTTTCCTTTGCAAAGACCGAAAAAAAATCTCCTGAGCATCACAACAAAACATAGCCTTCTAGCCAAGAAATCCACCGGCAAGAACAAGGGCACCCGAGGAGACCCGCGCTGCCGAGAGCAGCACCACCAAGGGAAATCGAGGCTGAACCACCGAGGGCCTTCAGTAGCAAGCCACACCCAGCAACACCTTTGTCCATCAGCACCTAAGCAGCGAGTTTTGACCAACAAAAGTCGAGCCAAATCGCAGCCAGAGCCAAGGCCGCAACACCCTAGCCGAAAGCCCTTGCACCCATCAAACCGAGCCACTTTTTCCTCCATTTTAATACCTGAAGAGAGGTAAAATAGCTGAGCCTTTTTACCTTGATATGGCCAAGTTTAGATGGTTTTTATATGCTTAAGTTTCAGTCATGAAAGTTGAAATGCATGCTTTAGATTTAGAGAAAGAGAAAGCATGTTTTGTGTTGTTTTTGCCTTGTCTTGTTTATAGCATGCTGGGCCTGTTCATGTGTTTCTTTATGCTGAATTTGTGTAAAATTTCAGAGGATCAAATCAGTTTTGTTGGCCTTAGTAACTTGTTAAAAAGGTCTTAAGCAAAGAATTGTTAAATCCGAGTTTTTGCCTTGAATTCATGTGAACTGCTAAGCCTCGGTTTTGTCATGTTTTCATGTTGATTTTGTGAGTTTTTGAGATGTCAAGATCAGTGAAAAGAATTATTTTATGCATGCTTAGATTAGTCAAGGTTTAAGAAGTTCAAGAGCTAAGATGATGCATGTTTTTTGCCTTGCTATATCTTAAGTTGCTGAGCCTTTGTTGAGTACTTTTTATGCTGAAAAGTGTGCTTCAAATTCAGAGTTTAAAGTTCAGTTAGTATGGCCTTATTATGTTGTGTTTGATCTTGAGAAAAAGAAAGAAAAAGAGAGCTTGTAGCCTTTGGTTTAGGTTGAATTCTAGATCCCTTAGTCTCGGTTAGATAGCCTATATTACAAGCTTTAAGTGGATCTAAGGTTGGCCGAAAAAAGTTCGTCGGCTACCGGCAAAAATGGCTGGAGATAGCCCCAGTCAGCAGAGACCCACAACAGGCAACGCAGGCGACCTAATAATCCTCGCACCAGTGCTCGCGCCCAGTGACGGATCTAGGATTTTTACTCAGGGGGGTCCAATTTTAAATACAAAATAACGAGCTTGTAGTTTAAGTCAAAACACTCATTTCATATAAAAATGTGTTTACTTATAAACATAAATATCGATATATGTAACATCAAGTTGTAAAAAATTTAGAATCTATATCACCATCAAAATTTTACAAAAATAAACAAAAAATAATAGATTTCATGTATTTATAATTTAATTTCAGCATCTATAATTTATAAAAAATTAAGTTTTTTGATTTAAAATTTGATTTAAATTTAACATTTACAGCACGTTGCATTGCATTTTTGTTGATTAGAGCTTATCAAACGACCACTTTTTTAAGAAAAAAATAAATAAAATTATAAATATGTGATTACACAAAAAAATAAAGTAAACAATAAACATTCAAAAATCTAACAATCCAACTAAATACTCGGTTTTATAAATCACTAAATCGATTTACAATTATGAATCCGAAAGAGTAAATTATTATAAATATGTTTAAAAATTTATCTAATAATGTAAAATATAAGGATCGTTAGTATATTTTTCAATAAATAGCATAGAAACTAAGTTTTAATAATTTATATTAATTTAAATTAAAATATCATAGAAACTAAGTTTTAATTATTTATATATTATAAATATTTTCTTGCATTTTTGTCCATATTTTATAGTGTTTTCTTTTATATATATATATATATATAGATATTTAAACAAAATGAGGGGGGTCCATGGCCCCCCCTAGACCCCATGTGGATCCGTCTATGCCCGCGCCCTTGCTCCCGCAGCATGTCGCATACCCCGCAGATAGTCATAGACATGGCCAAAACCCGGGCCGGGTCACGGCCTGGCCTGGCGCGGGCCACTGGGCTGGAAAACACTGATTCGGACCCAGCACGGACCTATACAAGTGTCGGATCAATGGCCCAGTTGACCGGGCCGGGTCCGTCATCTTTTTAAAAACAATAGAAAAAATTAAAAATAAAAAATAAAAAAAGCGAGCCATCGACTCAGCCCGGCCTGGACCTGCCGGGCCGGGTCATGAAATGAATGACCTTGAAACGGCCCAGTCAAAATTCGGTCCGGTCCCAGACCCGTGGTCAATGGGTTTGACCGGGCTGGGTCCGCACCAGGCGGCCCTTAGCCATATCTAGACGGCCGCATACACCTGCAACGACCCGCACTCCTTAGCAGATGCCTTCACGCAACCGCGTGCTCCGCGTCTGCGTGCCGTCCGCAATGCCCGCAACCGTGTGCGCAGATGACCGTGCGCGCCAACGCACTGTATCCCGCAGCGTCTGTGCGTCCTGTGCTCAGCGCCCGTGCATCGTTCCTACAGCGCCCCTGCACCTACTTCTCAGCGCCGGTGTTCCTGCAGCGAGCCTGCGCCCAGTCCTAGCAAATAGTGCCAGCGACCTTGGTCACCCAGTGCACGCCTAGCAGCCCCCGCCGACCTAGGTCCTGCCGAGCCCAATAAGTGCGCAGCGGGCCAGACCAGCACCGAGCAGCCTCAGCACCGGGTCAACCCAAGCGGTCTAGTGAGCCGAACCGGGTCTGACTGTGCATGAGTCAGCCGATTCGAACCAGTTTAAATTTTAGATTCCGAGCCTTAGAACCTTATCTGAGAACTCTAGACGAACTTTAAGTAGAAGAGTTGTTTGTTAATTGTTTTTCCATATTTACGTGGTTTAATCTGCTTGTTAATCAAAATCTATATCTCTAATAATTTCCTAAGAAAACCCTAATAATAAATAAATGCCTAAATTGTAGATTAAGAGGAGTCGAGCCCTCACGAAGTTCACGAGTATTTTCATTCATTCAGCGTCATAATTTAATGTGGGGATTTCTATGCTATGCATTATTCTTAATAATGGCAAGGTATTATGATAAAGATATGTTTGTGAGTATTTTGCCTGAGCGTGGGCACCAGTTACAGCAGGTGTGTACACACGAGACTCGGTTGTGGTTGGGCCAGCTTTTACGATAAATTCCGCCGAGGGGTCCATCAGCGCGACCGTTGATCCACAAGCGCGACCATTTTATTCATGTTCATGCTAATATTATCATATTTGTTATTATTCTGAATAATCATTTAGTGTAGATTACCATGGTGAGCTAGTTGGTTTGCTCACCCCCCCCCCCCCCCCAATTATCATCTTCAGGTTAAGCGGCTGGAGTCGGACACGAGGGAGATGGTGGTCAAGTTGTGTTATTGGTTATTTATGCTTTCGCAAAGACTTTTAAGATTAATGCTTTTCAATGCTTTTAGAACTTGTTTTGGGAATCGGTTTGAGACACCTTTTAGTTGTTTTCGAAACAGTTTAAGTATGCATGAATGTTTTGTTTAAGCTGCGAATAAGTTAGTAGCTAAGTAGTTAAGACAACGATGGGATCAGCGTTCCCATAGTAACTTAAGTTATGTTTTAAAGAAAGAAAAGTAGTTTCAATAAGAAGAGAAAGAGTTTTAAGTAAGTACACTAAAGAAAAGTTTTTAAAAGTTAAATTGCTTTCGAATAAATTCAAAATTATTCTGAAAAAATCATTATTTTTCTAAAGATAAGTAGATGGTGCTTACACGAACCACCTATTTAGAATCTCCCTGAAGCGCTCGCACATCCTCACCGCCTCCATACGAGCGTCAGCCACGTCAGCACCAATTTTGAGTGATGGACGAGTCTCATGAGCACACTTAAAATTACAAAAATACTCATAATTGGGTATTATTGAAATATTGAGCGGGACATGAGTAACATTCAAACCGATTTGAGTGTTTTGCATTTGTTTATCAAGTCAAGTAGAGCCTAACAAATGTTCAACTCGGCAGCTCAAGCTTGAACAAATAGTTAAGAAAATCGAACCCGATAATACATCACATATGACATAATTAGCTATAACTTAGGGCTTGATTGTTTACCAACTAGAAGGCAATTATACTAGTTCTTAACTAGTAAAGAGGAGGGTTGAAACTAGTTTTTTGCTAGAAGAGGTTGTACTCGGTCCACGTGCATACCCCTTTTTTTCATACTTTGTGACATCATCTACAGTTGTTGGTTGGCCACATTGTGAGCATTTGTTGATGACATAATAAAAAAAAAGGCACAAAAAGAGAACGGGGCGTGCATTTCCATGACGTGCGTATGGGCCAATTTTGGGTGTGCATTAACATCACTTTGCGGATTATTATGGTTATGATTTTTTATTTTTTTTTTCTTTCGTTTTTACGTAATAAATTTTGTAGTTTTGAAGACCTAGCACCAAATTGGTTGAGCAAAAAATACATCATGTGTAATCTTCTTTGAACATTCATGTCTATATTTACTTGTAATAAACATTCTTATGTTATTTTTATTTGTAATTTTAATAACCATTTTTTAAATTTACGGCGTCCCTGACAGAGGTAAACGGAAGAATGACGGCATGGTTATCTTATATGTGAACANATATGATAATGGTAAAATTAATACAACATAAGAATATCTAGTAAGAATGACAATAACATCTTGTTGACAAAAGCAATAATAATAATTATCATTTCACAAAAACTTTATTTGAAATATCAAATACCAGTACAATCACCAATGTAAATTGTTCCTCTCCTTCTTCTTTGTGCTGCCATACGTTTTTCTTCGGCCCAATAGTCGCGAACAACTTGGTCAAGTTTGCGATGGTTACGTTCATCTCTTGCCCTCGTTTCACCAGGATATGGGTCAAGGTCTAGTGGTTCGAAAATTATCTTCAAGGTCTCCCATAGAAGCTCAGGATTGTTGCTACAATAATGGTTTGCTCATGGCCAAAACTGAGAGAATATGAAGTACTCAGAATTATAACATTATTACATAACAAATGGAGATAAGACAATGTTCGTAATAGAACATATTTATATAACAAATTCACAAAACAAAAAACAAAAAGAAAAAAAATTAAAAAACAATATTGTGGTTGAAATTTCTTACCTCAAATGCTTCCTCACGATCGTCCTCGTCAAGACAGACGGTCTTTGCATGTATGTCGAAAACACCCAATGGGTAATCCAAAAAATATTTAAATGTTCGATACCTTTCTTTTAATACCATGAATGTCGTATAGCATTCTGCCAAAGTCAAATTATGGCCAATTTCACCCAAACAACTTCTATGTATTCTATCAAACGCCATATATATGTCAAACTCGTAGTTCAACCCTTCTGACTGGATGTAATGCAGAAGGATTGAACAAAAAGAGTCCTCAGCTGCTGGAAGCCATTTGTTCGAAAATCCTTCTCGTATATAGTGGAAATGTTCTTCTTTCGTATTTGGCAATGATAAACCCCACATGATTGAATATAAAATCCAGGCGGAGGATGTTTTGCATTGGTTTTAATTAAACACGTACATTATAGCGAAGCCTATGTAGGTTTATATATAGGCAAAGTGTTTGGTTGAGAAGTGAATTGGATATAGGTAATACAAAGTTTGCTCATGCCTATTTATCGTACAGGTTGTTTTTTACAATTACAACTCATTTCTATTTTTCCTTTCAAAAACCTTGGGCCATGCTATGTTGTGATACAGATTATTTTTTTTCTTTCCACTTCAATATTCTTTATATGCATTACAATAACTTTTATAACTCATAATATGTTTATAATATTATTATATCCTCTTCAAATTCATTTATTTTATATACTTGTAAATAACGACCATTTATATATGTTAATGTACGGAACTATATGACTTACTTCACGAGCACATAATAGTGTGTATATATATATTAATGTACATGACGTATATGAATTATATATACATTTTTTTAACACAATGTAGAAATATATACTATTGTATGTCTGGATAATTCCAGAAATGAAGTATCATTAAAATCCATTGGTTGAACGTGGAAAATAATTTGCAGATATAATTTGCATTAAAACACCGGTAAACTCCATAGGAAATAGCTACACTGGAAAAATAACATACGCGACAAATAAAAGTTACTTGTTATAAAATATTTTTCAATACATCATGATGAATTTCAAAAGTGCTACAATAATTAATAACCCGACGATCACAAAAAAAATTATCACAAAAAAACTTCTAACAATATCTGCGGTCGCAATTATAAAGACTGACTGTGAGTCATTGTTCGTTGGCGCATGTGACGTGGTTGAGAAGTTGGACCCTCGAGTTGTGTGACTGCTACCTTCTGCATTGGATTGCGTATTACAATATGTTTGAGCACTTCCCCTTGAAGAAAAATACCAATTACTGTCGTCATCCCAAAGAAAACTCCCCTCATGTTTTAATCCTGTCGGACAACGATAAAAATACCTACCATAATTTTTTTTTTTTCTGTTCTAGCCATCAAGCGGTACATCCGACCATTTCCGCATGAACACAAAGGTGGTTGAGAAACCATGATGAATTTTTATGGATGATTTTCGTAGCCAAATGATGTTTATATAGACTCACANTTTACACCTTTTCTACCTCCCGCCCAAAACACCACCTATCCACTTTCTCCCTCTTCTACATCTTTTTGACTAAAACCTGCCACCTCCTATTTTGAATAATAATTATGGCCCCCACAAATGAATGAGATAAAGAAGACCCATGCCACATCTATATCCAACTGCCCTCTGACCCTAATAAAAAAGGCAACAAGCTGTACCGAATATAATAAAAGAAACCAACAAAGGCAGTCTCATAGATGATGCATCAACATCACGCCACAATAAAACAAGAAAAAAATAACATTACCACATGCAAGGCCATTGATACGGCTGTTATTAGACCCATCGTGAAGAATCAGATTTTTCGCAACAGTGTAAGGCTAATTTTTAACAAAAATGATACATAGCCATCCTAGTGTACAATTATGTTCACAACACAACTAAAAAATATCACAAAAAATTAAAAAAAATCAAATACACATAAATATATTTCCACTTTTGTTGTCAACGTAATTGTACATTAGGTTGACAATGTACCATTTATCTTTGAAGAACAACACCAGATAAAGCCACGCCGTGCTGAAATCTATTGACCAACCGAAGCAGGAGTGTTGAAATCCTTTTTACTCAATCTCGTTCGTGTTCGACAAAAACTCGTTCATTTGTTAATCGAACGGACGCGATGTCGTGTGTGAACATTAGATTAGTGCGCGAACAATAATGTAAGAAAATTTATTTAATTTATTTACATTTACGTTTATAATATTTGTAATTATAATTTTAAAGTAGCATTTTTTTCCTTGTTCGAACAAACCAACCTCGAACACAATTTTTTGCGGGAAAAATATCAAAGAACCCGAATGTGAACATGAATTATAACAAAATAATGAACGTAACCAATGTGAACATGAATTACAACAAAATAACAGAGTAGTCATGAGTCTCGTGCATGCGTACCAGAAGTCCACAACAACCGTCACATATGTTACACAATAAAACATGAGTTCACCCTCAAACCACGGTACAAAAGTGACACTCAAACACACATTACACCAACCTAACCTCGAAACGCACACAAAAATACGGGGTTAATGTGAATTGCCATGTATCGCCTTCAACCATTTGCGTAGCGTCCACAAAATCCTCGGCATCCCAATTTTGCATCAAAATATTTCCATGGCCTTGAACGATTTGTAATTCATATGTACACCTCTCAAACTCCAAAATTGCTCTAAAAGTGTCCGTGGGGTCGGTAAGAATATAATCTCGCCAAAAATTAATAGGAATCGACTGCAATACAATGGTAGTTTTAATGTGATGATGCGGTTGAAAATAAAGTAAGCATAGCGTAACAACAAAGGAGATTAATACACAATTACCAAACGCGCACGTTCCACGTGGCGTTTCTTTATTTCTAGTGTATACCGGTAGCGAAGATCCCGCTCCACTTGATCCTCCCCGTGCATTGTCACTATGAAATCCGTAAAGGACGTGCGGTCGAACCACAAACAGTTGTCGACCATAATGTCCTCACCATGCACAAAGTCTCGCCATCCTTCATCAAAAAACACCCGAAAACGATTGCCTCTCAATGTCACGATATACCTACGACCTTCTCTAGTGGTTAGGGTGCACTCAACAGGTGTACGGTGGCTGTATTGATGGTTTAGACTATCCGGAAGCTTCTGCGGGCCACATTAAAAATTGGAAATGACGATGTATGTGATATTAATACCTAGTATTTGAGCACGAAATAATACATGAACACGAACAATTGAATTACGCAAACGTACCTATGTTCATTTTCCCGGATCGACGATGTACTTGAAAAAACAATTAAAGTACTCTGACATGTTGTGTTAAGTGTTATCTACGTGGTTTGTGCGAGGTTGCCAATAAAAAATACCCGATTTCATTGACTATAAAATGTGTCACAAAAAAAAAACACTATGACTCACAACAACGGAAACGAGAATGCGAAAGAAACAGAGAAATATGGGTTGCAATTCCAAAGAAAACAATAATAACACGGTTGAACGTGGACAACCTCAACATACTACAATAATAGCGCGGAGTATACTGTAATCCCAAAAAAAAAATCCATTTCAAATACCGATAGTGAAGCAAGAGTCATCGCTTCCAAATAAATTAATTGGAAAATCGATTGAACCATCTTGCTTTGGAATAACCCAATACGAAAAACCCATAACAAAAAAAAGAATCGTTCTACGAAACTCATTGAACCATCTCAGTTTCGAATAACCCAACAAAAAAAAGCCCAACTAACCGGTCGTACCTCTGAGGACGACGAATCCGTGGGGAGGGGGGGGGGGGGNGGGTGATCTGTGGACGGAGAAGCAAGATTTTGGGTGTGGGGGAATGGGAGGAATTAGGCTGGTTTTGAAATAGCTATCTCCCACCTTTCTACTTTCTCGTTTTCCCAACACAAGCAAACGGTCGGTCAATCCTCGGTTCCACCGCCGCTATAGATTGTTTGTTGTATTTCATTAACTGTATCTCATAAATGGTATGAAAGTTGACTTTCATACGCCCTCTTGCTCAAGAGTAACAAGTACTAGTACAAAAGTTGAAATTGAAATAAAATATAGCATTAAAAAAAGGTACAAATTTTATTTCAATGTATGGATAGGTTTATTTAATTTGATTCTCAATGTATTAACTTTGAATATTATTTTTAGTTTTATTACAAAAAAATGTTAATAGAATTTAAAAAAATAATATGGTTTAATTTGTAAAGTTGTGAAATATGTTGGTAGTATTGAATAGTTATAAAAGTTATGAAAAAACAATATTCCGATATTATTCTTTTGGGTTTCAGAGTGATTTTCATAGGCTCGTCTTAAAATCCTATCGACTCTATATATTATTCTCCAATATTCCGATATTATTCTTTTGGCACATATTCATGTTTGGTTTCGACTATTATGCTTGAGATTGACCATAAACTTTTCTAGGTTCTATTTTTTCTTAAGTTATGTCACTCTTACCTTATTTTTTATTTAATTCATATATTAGTGGTTTATTTAATCACAATACAATTAAACTTGTTTTGTTTAAAAAACAAATCAAATATATGAAGTTGTAAATAATATCAGTTTTATACATATATAATTTGATAAAAATCGTGCTTTTATTTATTTATAATAATATATATTTGATAAAATCGTGCTTTTATACTGTTTATAAGATTAAAAAGTTCATATGTAACTAACTCATTTTCATATTCATTGAAAGTATATGTTACAACGATTATGATGTTCCCTTTCAAGAATTATTGAATAGTTTAACATACTGTTCATATATTTCTCTTTTTAATTCATATAATTAAAATTGACAATAGTTGCAAGTTTACATTTATTTTTTTCTTTTTTCGTACTATGAATAATAGTAATTGGAATAATTAATAAATAATAGTAATTGGAATAGCCAATGATAGTAATTGGAATAGTAATTGACAATAGTTGTAAGTTTACATTAATAAATAATAGTAATTGGAATAATTAAATCAGTTAAATTCTAATGTAAATTAATGTTATCTCTGTTGGAATAGCCAATGAAAATTTTCACTTAAAGTTATACCAATGAAATATCCATTGAAATTTTCAGTGGAATACCTTACGGTTGTTTTTTTATTGTATTCATTCTTAAACATTAAATTTATATATAATATCTTTTGTTATTAGTTAATTATCTTTATAATTTTCCTATTAAAAATAAATTAAACACATGGCTTTTTATTTTAATTAATTATAACACTTTTAATAGTATTTATGGATTTTTTTTTTTTACTTTATATTGTTCTTTCATATGTTTATAAAATGGGGTGATGTTGGATTGTGAAGAACTGATGATGTATAAAATGGGTTTGATTCTATGTTAGTTTTTATAATTATATTTTTTGTGCTAATTTTTTCAAACACCGGCAGTTAACATTACATACATCACGTTCTACATTTTTTTTCCCTAAAAATGGTACTCCATTTTAAAATTCGAAGGTGAATGAAAAGAGGCAACAGTCAGAAAAGGTATTTTATATTCGTCTTAATAAAAGATAAATAGAATTCATCCGATTTATATAATTTTGTTTTCCAATTGCATTTCATATTGTGTTAATAAGGTAGAATAATGATTGGTTGTTAATAAATAGATTTCAACCGTATTGATAATTATCTTCAATAGTGTTATGAATAATGATTGGTTGTTATTGTTACACTCATTTTTGTTTTAGACACCATTCGATGGCAAATAGGTTTGATCCATTCGTTGTTACAATTACGGATGCAAACAGCCCGAACTTGGTATGAATACAAACCTCTTTCCTAAGTTTCATTTAGAATTATTATAATAAATATCGCCCCATCGAACAAAATGCATATGGTTTGCATACAGCCGCTGCCCGAGTCAGTCTACCATCAGTATACAAACCACGTCACGATAAATTGTACAATAGAAACTAGGGAGAACCGTACTTATGAAGTTTGGTTGGTGAAAGTGGGAAATCGATTGGAATTTCGTGATCGTTGGGACGAATTCGTACGAGCCGAAGATATTCGCGCGGGCTACAATTTGTATTTCGAGCGCAATAGTCTGTATGAATTTGTTGTGAAAGTTTTCACTTGTAATTCAGCTGAACGACCTCCCAAATATCGCTTCTTAGTGGATATGAAGAAAACGCACGTGCAACGGACACGTTTGGTACGTATGACATTTTACTTTAAATTCTAACCAAGAAATGGAACGAAATATTTTATTAATTGTATTTACTATTGTAGGCCATTCCGATGAGTTTTTGGAGGGAGCATATCGAACACCAAGTTAATGATACTACGAGAGCAATCTTATTGTGTAAAGGAGGTCGATACAATGTTCCAATAATCCAAGCGCATTGGAAGGCGTTGATGGAACACGGTGATGCGCGTGAATTTATGGACGAAAGTGGAATCGTGGAGGGCATCACATGCGTATTCACCTTAATTGGATATGAGTGTGTTGTTTTCAAGGTACGGTTACTGGATGGTTCCCCTATTTAATCGTGCGAGAGTATTTGGCGTACGAACACCGGCTTTCATGTTTGGACTAATTTTATGTGTTTGAATTCGTAATTGGACCAATTTTAATATATGTAAACAAAGGCAACGTTGCAGGTCTTTATTAAGGTAAATGGTCTCATTGCTTGAATTTTTGCTTTTCACGGTTGCCTGTGCGTGTAACATTATTTCAATGCATGAAAAGAATGATTTTAAAAAAGAAAAAATTGCAATGCTTTTTCCCTTTTCAGAAAAGGGATATCTCCCCTGATCATATGCCCTACATGTCTGTATCATGTATATTTTTTGTCGTTTTTTTTTTAAATCTATTGATCATTCGTTATTTTTCAATAGGTTATACATAATTATTTTTTATGCTAATCTCCACCTGGGTAAAAAAAGGCTACAAATAAAAGTGGAATAATTGCATGGTATAAACAAATATAACAACGTATTATAAGGTAGATGCGGCTGATAATTGAAAATTATGTAAAAAACATACATAGCGTCATTTATTTGGTTTCAAATTAGATATGACGTAGGAAAATTTATTAGATTTAAATTCATAACATGAACTATTGTTTTCTGATTTTAAATCTTAAGACATACACCACCACCCCATCTCAAATTCGTTTTAATGACAACAACCTCTATTTTCGTGTGCAAATAAAGTGGTAACGGTCCACACTATTTTCGTTTTACATAATTAATTTTATAAAATTTTCTATTTATAACAATTTTACAAGTATTATTCTTAATTTGTTTTAATATATAAGAATGTGAATATTGTACTATTATGTTTGGTTTTATTAAGAACAAAAAAAAAGGCTATAATTTTTTTTTTGTTAAGAACAACACTCATAATTCATCAAAGATGAAAGATAGTAATGTAGGCCGGAATATCAATTTGGGTGTCCTTAATAGAATGAAAGGTGCGTTCGGGTTACATTAATAGAAACGATGTTCGTTCTATCTTCAGTTCGCCCACAAGGCTTGCGCTATCGTGTCATGCAAGACACAATGGTCACCAACGTTGGGGTTCGAGTTATTATTATTGGACATAAAAGCAAATGTACGATCTTCAGGATCATGTCGGCGTACGTATTCTGGGTTTCTGAATTCAGGCGGCATGTTTTTGAGTGGCTCATGAATCCGAATAAAGTTGTGTAGAACACAACATGCTATTACTATGTCGGTATGGGAGTGGACTGTGTAGTTTGGCGTCAGCCCCTTTATCATGGGAAACTTCCCTTTTAGCAAACCGAAGCTGCGTTCTATGACATTACGGACAGTGGCATGTCGTCTGTTAAACAACTCACGAGCATTGCCGGGCAACTGGTTAGACCCCAACCACTCTGGAAGATGATATTGTTCACCACAATATGGTGTCATGAAACCTGGGATATTTGCGTATCCGGATTCCACCACATAGAACTTACCTAGATTTTGAAATGTCCACCAGAACACAAGAAAAAATTGATAAATTTCAATATTATTTAATTAAAAGCATATGAATAGTGTGATGATGGAATTACCTGGAGGTGGAAAGGGAAAAGCATATATGGGGTCGGACATAGTGTGATTAAAAATACGTGCGTCATTTGCGCTGCCTTCCCAGCCGGCTAGAACGAAAGTAAACTTCAAGTCAAAGTCACACGCCAACATGACATTTTGCGCCAAATAACCTTTCCTACATCTGTAAGAACCTTGCTGTCCTTCCGGCACCCACGCTGGTATAATAGTGCCGTCAATGGCGCCAATGCAATCCTAACATTAAAAATTACCATTTCAAATTTACAGTACAATGTTAGTTATAGAGTATACGGTATTGGACAAATGAAGTGAAATAAATTTACCTTAAAGTAGGGATATAAGTTACGATTATTTTTTATCCAAGGTGCCACACGGTTGAAGTCTGGGGGACGAATGTAGTCGGGGGCTAGATAACATAGAGCATTGATGACTTTGTGACAATGACGACTAATCGTCTCCCCCGAGTGTCTGAATGACTCAGCCGCACGTCGTTGCCTTTGATGACCTTTTATTGTATGAAGAAAAATGGCTACGCTTTCTTCAATGCCTATTTTTTGTTGTCTTGTTACTTCGTGGAATCCCGCTCTCTTGATTTCATCACAAAGGATGGTAAAATGACATTGATTTATGCCCATTGCATCTTTAAAGCGGCGAGGATTTCCGGCTAATAGTTCATTTACCCAGTCCAAACCCGTGTAAGTGGATTCTCGGTAGGGGGTTCTTTTTAAAGGGTGAAATACGGACGATGAACTTTCAAAAATGTTTACAAGTTGTTGAAATTGAGCGCCCACCATTAAGGATGTCTCCATAGGATCATACTCTTCCACCGACTCCAAATCACTATCAATGTCGTCAGGCAAATCATCGACATCGTCCTCATACGTGTCACTATCGTCAACATAAGACATCCTACAATTAAATGTATAATAAATACATGAATACAAATATCCACAAACAAATTATAACATAAGCATGCAGTAGGCAATGTAGCTTGGAAACAAAGTTAAACATAGTACACTCGTACAGTAAATGAAGATAGACAAGGCCAACAACAAATAAAGAGTAATAAAAATGTTCGCCATCCCCCGTCACGCATCACCGGGGCCCTCATCCAACCACATTTTAATAATAGTACGACGTCTCTCGTCACTATTAATCGCCGCAAACATTGCTCGATTGGTGGGATCCCGCAATTTCATGCAAACAAACTGGAAAAGATCTTTGTCCATATCAGGCATTGCTTGAAGGTCGCGCATAGCTTGTTCCATTGTCGTTAGCTTTGGGGGTCTATTGTTTCTTTCTCTAAGGGACACATTCAAGTCTGACCACGAATACATGGCCGTGTCGAAACTAGACTCTGTGCCTCTCCTCGGACGAACGTACCGCCTCTGCCTACCTTGCCGTGCATGAGATGTCGGGGTAACCATCGGTTCGTGTTCTTCCTCCGCGACAAAGTCGTGGCTCACATGTGCGGACGGCTGACCACCGAAGCTTTGTCCCTCGGCCACCCGTTGGGTTGATGCCCTCGCATTTGACCCCGTAGCAGTAGTGCCGTGAAAAATAGTAGTCAGTTCTTCATAATGCACACACACCTTACCCTCCATGTCATGGTCCCTTCGATTTGCCTATGCACGTGACATTAACACAGCAGCACTATCAAAATGAACAAAGGTCAGTAAATATAATATACTTCTAATTTAAAGAAAACGCAAACATGAACTAATAATCCTTCCAACAACATACAAGTACATGCCGCATTAAACTCAAACACAAAATTCTCCTCAAAACAGCAATATGATAGGAAACAATCTGTATATGTCTGCCCGAGGATGAAAAAATACTTACGGTTGTCCATTGCGCCCAAAATTCAGTGGGTCCTTCAAAAGTTTTTTTATCTTCATTCCATCCCAATCCGGTGGCGTTGGTGACTATGTTGTGAAACCGTCTCCAATACACTTTCATACGTTGGTACTTACTCTGTAGCTGAGCAACTTTGTAAGGATAGTAATTAAGACACCTCTCTGTCAACTTCCCAAGAATGGTCCCCCATTGATTAGGTGTGAACTTACCGGCTACACGGTTCCCTAACTGGACTTCTTCCAACAAAACACCGACAAATGCGGCTTCATTTTCGGGAGGCCATTTTGCGTCTCCTTGACTATTATCAGTTGAAGTAACAATACCACCGGTATATGACATCTACAATCATGACAAATAACAAACCAACTACAATGTGGTATGGTACTCTTCACAAGTTAAAATAAATATAAAAATTCAAAAAAAAAATGAAAGAAATGCATATTTGTTCTACATTGTACACATGCAAAAATAACAGGTAAAATCAAAACAGTCTTAACACATTTGGAATTGAACTTTGAAAATTACCCAACATATGTAATTAAATGTAATGTCTAGGATCCCCAATTTTGTTCCCAACGATATCCCTAACCGAAAAAAATGAACATTTCAATATCGGTTCCTCCTGCTACCATCTACACATAGGATCCCCAATTTCATAACCCACATAAATCCCGAATATATTCTACAGGCTCTACAAATAGCTATGGTTCGTTCAAAGTGCGGCCCAGTTGTAAAGCAAAATCGTTATAAACATAATTATATAAGCAGAATTTTTTCGGACACATAAAAGAGGGCATAAACTACCTTTGTTGGCCGGAGTCTTCTTTTTTTCGTAGATGTGACGGAGACGCTCCCGGTGCTCTCGGTACTTTCTTCAAGGCGGCGATCCAACCGTGCTTCACCGTCGTTTCTTTCTGTTGCCGGAAGTGAACTCTTTGGGGAGAGCTCCATACGCAGAAGAGGTGGTTGAGGAGTTTTTATTGAGGAAATTTTGTTGGGCGACGACAAGATGGGGAATCATACAGCTATTGCGATTTGAAATGTGAAGAAATCGGTCAAAAAGGAAGGGGGAGGAAATGAGTCTTGTGCAGACCTCGAAATTGGGCAAAAAAAAAAAAGACGAAACAGAATTGAATTTTGCTGCAGGAGTGTTAGTGGATGTCGGCTCTTTTTAAGTGGGCCCAGAGTGCACACTCAATTGGTATCCAATCACAAGCCCAACAGTGTTTTGGGTAAAATATCAGTTTTTTTCTAGTCCAATTGGTATCCAATCGCCCTCTTACTAAGAATCATTTCAAGCACTTAGTTCCATTAGCATGGTACGAGAACAATTAATCAGTATCTTAAGCATTTATTCATGTTAGTCTGTTGTGCTAATAATCTGACTATTAAAGATGACAAATTGGGATTTTTTGCTTTCTTACTATGGCATCTCTGGAAGGGCAGAAATAAGTGGTTGTATAAGGGAGATTGGATACATGACAAATTGATTGTCGAAGAAGCTCATGCCGAGTGGTTGGAGTGGTCTGCAAGTAAAATAGCTAGGTCGAGCTCCAACAGATGACAAGCACATGTACAACCCCAACATGATAACTTTTCCAGGGAAGTGGGTCAGTCATATATGAATTTCAGTGCTTCAGTATCTATGGTTGGAGAAGTCAGAGTGGTTTGTTCTTTTCATCAGCAGGGATATTACATTTCAATGGCAGGATATTATTCAGGGAGATGTTCAAGATAATGAAGGGTGGTTGATGATTATAATCTAGGGTTTGAACAAAGCCAAAGACAACAATTGCAACAACTTCTCACTTCTTCTTCTGAACTCGTTGAGGATATTTCTAGGAGTTTGATCATGTTGGAAGAACCAAATCCTCAGTTAGTTGCCATTAGAGAATTGATGTCTCAATGTAATGCTTGCGTTAGTACTATTTTCTAATCTTTTTGCTATTTGGACTTCATGGCTTGTTGCTAATTAGGGTTATGGTTTTACCTTTCTCGTTGTCGCTGGTTGCTAGGGGTGTTCACGGTCTGGATTGGTCCGGTTTTAGCCCAAACCATGACCAAACCGGACATAACGGTTAATTTTTTTTCTTGTCCATAACCGGACCGGTTTTATTTTTTAACCAACCATAATCCGGGCAGCATTGGACAGTCCGGTTTGGCGGTTAACCGGTTAAATCGAAAATCCTTGTTTTGGGCCTTCAATTTTTATTTTTTTCATTTTGGGCTTAATTTTTATTTTTCAATTCTGAGCCCAAAAGAGATTATTTGGGCCTAAAAATTAAGAAAAACAACAATAATGAAATAAAAAATACACAATTCGTCCCATAAGCATAAAAATACACATTTCGTCCCATAAACATAAAAATACAAAAATGATAAAGATTAAATTATGCAAATTGAACCCAAGCAAGCATTCATTTTTCAGTCAGTTTATACACCTGAAATAATAAGAGCAAAGCATTCATAGTGAATGTATTGTATTTGTCGGCCATAGTGAATGACTGAATGTATATATATATTTGTTATAGTTTTTTAATATTTACCGGTCCGGTCCGGTTAAACCGGCGGTTTGCCGCAGGTAATCCATTAACCAGACCGGTTATTCAGTATTTTTAAAAAAATTAACTACCGAATTTTTTAAGATTTTTTTAACTGACCATTTAACCGATCCGCGGTCCGGATTGACGGTTTTTTCGGTTAAAACCGGACCGTGAACACCCTTATTGGTTGCTACAATTTGTAGGACTTGTATGGTTGTGACCATTTGGTTACCGCATACTCTGCTTTGAGTTTTAATGAATTTGTTTTATTGTCGTTAGAAACAAAAAATAAAAAATCACCAATCGAGCATAAATAAATAGAATTCTAGTTATTATTCCCCCACAAACCTTCCTTAATCACAAATCAAGGTTGACTTTTGTTTATTTAAAAAAAATAATAATAAATAAATAAAATAATAACGTGGGTTCTGTTGTAATTTATCTAAAAAAACCAAGGCATTTTGTAGCTAACCCTAAATTACGTTAAGTAGATGCACACAAGACGTGTGGTTCATGCAAATTCGAAAGGTCTGAGCCGTTAGATCAACAAACACTGCGTGTACAAATGTGTGTGCGTGTGATCCAACAGCTCGAATCTAACAAACACTGCGTGTACAAATGTGTGTGCGTATGATCCAACAGCTCGAACCTCGTCAGAGTCGAATGTTTCATGGTTCATTAGGCAAATCTCATACCAAACACCAAAAAAAGTGACCCATCAAATTTTGAGAAAGAAAACAGATTTCAATGTTCAACTGGTAAATAGATAACATTCCCACAGTTTAGACAGCATAAAACAAATGTTGAAAGGACACAAACAAGGCCCAATCTCCTCACAACACATCAAACAAATCCCTACAATGAACAATTAGAAGAGATCTAAACAAAGAGTGTTGCTTGCAAGAGCATCCGAAAACCATCCCGAAAAAGAAAGCAACACTAGCAACAATTGTACACGCCATCTGGTTCGTCCGTAAAGATATATGATCGGGAAAAAAAAAAAGAAAGGACGAGCCCCAAAAAAGCCAAGGCCCGATCAAGTCAAGGGCGCGCCCTCTTGTTGCTGCACGTCGGGCATTTGTACTGCTTGATGTGCTCGGCTCTTGCAGGCGTGATTTTCACGCACTTGCCATGGAACCATCTTTCGCATATGTCACAGCAAATCCAAAACTCATCCGCGGCGTAGTTTTCGCCACACGCCCCACATAAAGTCTCCCCGTGCTCGTCTTCATCTTCCTCATCGAGTACCTCATCTTCATCCTTTGCTTGTACCTTAGTTGATTTGGTCTGAANGAAAAGAAAACGACTAGGTTATGTCACTTATGAAGGTCACGGTTGAATAAATCAAGAACATGTAAAGTATGAACAAAAAATATCTGAATTGGAAAAAAGAGCTTTGGTACTGAATATATAGCCGATCAACACGTGAACACAACTTTGAGTCTTCATCATATATATATATATTGCAAACAAGGCATACTCAAACAACTGAATGTAAAAAATTCATTTAGGGTTGAAAGAATAATATCATAAATGAAGGAATGATGAGATGATATGACTGATCCACACTCCCAGGCTGCTAAAGATACTTCAATGAAATATTCAATGTATTAGTCATTCAAACAAAGTTGAGACCCACACAGGGATAAAAAGAAAAGGACGAAGACAAAGAAGGAAAAATGAGAATGCATTTAAAAGTTAATAAGTCCAAGTCTTCACGTGTATCAACACAATGAAAAGTTAATTATAACAAACAAATTCAGTGTCAAAATCGTGTTCAATGAAAACCACTTTTTTGCATGCAATTTCTCCACCACAACCAAGTAGGCCCCCCCAGATTCCCCAAAATCTAGCACACAGCAAGCTAAAAGGTGCGTATTTATAGAGGCAGTGCTTAAAGTAGTGTTTTCATCTTCGTTTTAGAAAACTCGGCGCCCAACATGCAGTAATTTTAGCACCTTCATTCGACTTCATTTCCACATTAACAGGTGAAAAAAAAATGATTGACTACTCTTAACTATTTACCAGATACAAATATTAGCCTGGACAGTATAGGACGATCAGTCATCAATAACATAGCAAAACTTCATTTTTTGTAATTGATCAAATTAGTTACATCATAAGTGATTTCAAAGGAAACCACACAAACTTTGTGAACATAACATATAATCCCTCTTCTATGCACCAATAAATGATAAAGAAAGAAAAATTCCTTTACCGTTTTTGAGTTTGACTTGGATTTACTGCCACTGTGGTTTGAAACAGATGATTTTTCCTTTACTTGCTTTTTTGCAGCTCCTGTCACAACTTCAAAAATCGTCGGAAGATCATTTACCATATTGAATAGACGTTTCCTGCATCCACCACCAAAATATATAAAGTCAACATCATTTGGAGAAATACTGTTGATTAGTTAAGCAGCATTTGCATTTAGTAGAGGACTCGCATAAAATTACAGACCCTATTAGTTATTATAGAAGATACCATGCACTAAAACTATAATGTCATCACTTGTACATTCTTCTTATCCAGGAGCAAATAGAGTGAACAAGTCAACAGTGAACATCATATAACCATCAAGCACAACGTTACTCGTAAAGAGGGAGTAGAAAATGGAAAACTAAAGAAATTACATAATTAAAAAAATGATTATTTGACACTGGAATTTCTTGGAACCACTTCTTCAGAGGATAGTACATTCCAGTATTCCACAAACCACAATTCAGATACTTATTATTTATCTAACGAAGCTAACACTTATTTATATAGATGAGCAACAATTGCATTATGGTAAATAAAACAGATAAATAATAGAAGGTCAGATAGGCATTATATTTATTGAAACTTACGTCCATTTTCATGGTATACTGGAAAAAATGACTAGGGATTTGAGAAACATGCACCAATAATGGTAACAATTAAAATCATGCACTACGCAACATGGAGATCATAACACCTCCTCAATATTTCAACGCACAACTAAGGTGTACTCATTTGGGATTCTTAAAGACTTCGAGGTTTGAGAATCTTGATTATTTAATTGACATTTTCAAACTTTGAAAGTCCGGAGGTATTCATTTCAGATTTTAATAAGTCGTCATGACATATTCAATTTATTTATCAATGAGAATTAATGAGATTTCAAAGACAAAACGCGTATAAAAACTCTTACCCCAAATCCCACCTCCCACCTATAGACTTAAGATTTCCAGGATTTAGGTAAACTCCAATTAACTCTTAATAGTCTCAGATTTAAAAAATTTCTTAAAATGTCTCGCACAATCTCAGACGAATATAACTTTCAATAAGACCAAGCTACCAATGCAAAATAAGGTATAAAAGCTACTCCTGCACTAGCTTTAGTCTTAATAGATGAAATAATTAACAATACCAGGTTTTACCAACAGAATAGAAATAAAAATAAAGAGGAGAAAATTTAAAGAAGTTAACGATAGCCAGGGTTCACCAGGAGAAGAGGACATAAAAATAAAACAGGAAGAGGAAACTTTATAAAGTTCCAAGCTTTTAAATAGACTACCTGTCAGCTTTATCAAAACCGAATCTGGCACCAAAATAGAAAGCAACAGAAAGTAGCCATGCATCACTGTGCACAGCCACGAGAGCCAGCCAGTCTTTCTCCTGCATTCCGTCCCTGGCAAAGTTTATACCCAAAGCAGGTTCCGGAAGCTCAGGAGGCACCTCTTCAGCAGGCAAATTAACTTCCCAATGCTCATCAGGAAATCCATAAAGACAAAGATTTTCCTTCTCTGCAAAATTTCAATGTTTTTATGGAAGTACAATCATTAAGAGTAAAGGATTATTATCCAGATGGAAACATCTATCGCAGGCTGATAATTACAGAACACCAGATACTTTTTGTTATCAACAAGCAACATGGAGATAGATTGAGTTGTTTTTGAGATATGAGTAGAGCTAGCAAAAGGAATTGCAAAAAAACCAACTTGACACATCCTTGGGTACAAACCTTGGCTTTAGACAAGATAGAAACATAAAGGAGCAATTTTCTCCATTGGATTCTGGAAGGCGAAAAACATTATTGATAATATTTTACAGAAGCTAAAACCTCAGCAATCAAGACGCTCCTAGAAATGACACAAGCTATTTAATACGATGGTGGTTCGGATTTCAGAATTAAGAAAATCACAAGGTACTTTTAGCAATTTCATAGTAAATTTGAAGACTTCTATTTTATCTTTTCCTTAGTCGGATATTAGGGCAGAAAATGTAAGCAAATGGCAGGTTTACATTCACGGAAGATGCACGATGCATTCCACGTTTATTATTACTAAAATTGCATTACGTAATGCATTCGAAACAGAATATGGTCGGCATAATTGCAATTCGAATGTAATTCAGTCAACAAAGAAAGAAAGTGTATTTAAATCGATACCATATCACAACTTCATAACTATCACTAGTAAGTCTTTAATAAGATCAATCAAGATATAATTATATTTCCCACACCCAAACCATCTCGTCTTATTCGAATCTGTATGGTTTTTCCCAAAAAGATATATATTTTTAATAAAAAATAAATAAAATTTATGGTGGCAAACTTATAATCAGTTCCCAACAAAAAGGGGAAGAAAATGTTGAATTCAGGATAATTTACCAAGCTACTTAAGTATACACTAATAAGTTAATAACACTCCAGACATAAGCAAATACTAGCATGAAAGTTAAATAACACAATTATTATTATTATTATTAAAATTATTATTAAACCATGCAACGAATAATCAAGATAATGTCTAAAAATATACCCAAAAAAAATTATTGAGATAAAAACCACTAATAATTACAGTACGAAAAAATTCACCCAACTCACCTGGATCACACAGCTGGAAAACATCTTCAACTTCTGAAAAAAATCGAACATAAAAACAATGAATAGACCTCAAAACTCCATAAAAACAAATCAACGCAGAAAAAATCGAACAGCAAAAACCCTAGAGAGATTCACATAACCACGGCGCAAACAGAAATTCCACAAGCAGACTACATACAGCAAAATCCATTACCCTTTTTCAAAAGATAAAAATAGAAAATTACCAGTAGTGAGAGCTTTAATCAGCGCATTGCGCCTCCCCTTGAAATCTCTGAAAACCTCCTCCACCGTGCGAGGGTTGTGCGCGCCTCCTTCCATGGCTGCTCCGTACGCGCAGAAACACGCTTCAGAGTGTGCTTTTCTTCCTCAGTAATGGTTTCAAAAACTAAATAAGGGGCCGAAAGAGGGGGATGTTGGGGGCAGAAATGGAATTCGTAGTTTCTGTGGGGGCTTTTTGGGAATAATGAAGAGTTCTTTGCGAATGGATAGGACTCTTTAGTAAAACTTGAAAGGGAAAGAAATTTGACCTCCTAAGAGCAAGAAAATCTCTCTCTAGATTGTAGACTATTTGATGATGATTAATTATTATCTAATTATCTAATTTCGAAAAATTCAGTCAATTTGGGTGATATATTGAGATAAGAATTTCAATCTTAAAAAAATAAATAAATAAAAGGGTCATCTAAAATTAGGACTGACATTTTTGGATCGAAAACCGAAAACCGAACCGAACCGACGAGAAAAAAACCCGAACCGAACCGACTCACTTAAAACGGTAACCGAATATCGGTTACCGATATGCTATCGGTACGGTATCGATTCCGAAACCATAGAGGTTTGATTTTACTAAACCGAACCGATAAGGAATAAAAAAAATAATACTTAATATTAATAGTTAATAACTTAATACTAATATTAATAACTTAACACTAATAATTAATAACTTAATACTAATAACTAATAAGTAATAACTTATGTTATATAGCTTGTGAATGCATAACAGAGCAAGCAACTTTTGGATATAATTACTAAGCAATATTCAAGACTTGAAAACCATCATAAGCAATATTCAGGAAATTCAACAGTTGCCGACATTCATTCTGGATATTGGATGCTGCGGGCTAATTTCCCTCAGCAAAAGTCGTAGTACGCTCCGCCACTTTGCGCATCTGTGGATTAATTTTATGATTGTATATTTCTATTCACCACTGTATAAGTACAGTAATCAAAATTTGATGAGTATTAATTTCATGCATGTTTATCACCCATTAACAAAAAAAAAAAAAAAAAATCGGCCTTCTCATTTATTATTGATAAATTTCAGTTTTTTCGGTAGGAAACCGTTACCGAACCGAGATATCGGTAACCGAACTCGGTTCGGTAACAATTTCCTATTTGTAGTTACTAAAATAATCAGTTCGGTATCAGTTTGGCCTTATCGATTCGGTAACCGAACCGATACCAGCCCTATCTAAAATTACTAAAACACAATACAATTTTTTTATTATTATTGTTGTGCGTTTCATTTTTTTAAATATCGTTTTAAGTTAGACTTTTTAGTTTTATCTCATTCTAGATTATTATTTCAACTTTTTATAAAAAATAAAAATAAAAAATAATTCATAATTATAAGTTGTCATAGAATCTTGATTCACTAAATATTAGGCAAGAGATGTATAAATATAGATGTTAGAAGCATATCTTGAAGATTATATTTGGCAAACATGTTACAATCTAGTGAGAGATACCCTCTATTAAATTATTACTAGATTGATACAATAACATATTTAATGAAATCAGTAATAATTTATGCATACATTTGGTGCTTACTTTTTTTACTCGAACAGGCTCAGCGGGTTGAGTCGGTGACGACCGAGTAGGTTTTAGGATAACAAAGGACCTTGTCGATCCAACCTTGATAAAGTTGGTTCGGACATCTTTTAGATTTTAGACGTGCGAACCCAGCGTACGCACAAAAGTATTTTTAAAATTTTCTTACCAACAAAGATGATCCGACTGTAGTTATTTGATATGACCCTATGTCGAGTGAATGATCAACGAAAACTTACAGTTGTTCGTACGCTTTGTCCTCGACTATGGTATCTAGGCAATCCAGTTTCTCGGTGTATGATCTAATGCTAATGAATTCCTTCCGGTGAAAAAACTAGGAATTCTCAACTAGAAAGCTAAAGAGTGTTTTTGTCGAGATCTTGTGATGTTACGATATGTATCTCACATCTTAAATAAAGACTGTGAATAGCTAAATATGTATTTATAATTAGGTCAAACTTAATTTTATGGGTCATAGGAGATCTGTGACCAAATATGTAACTGGGCCTAATGAAATTAATAATTTAATTAAGTACAAATATTATTTAATAAAAAAATATATTCTATCAAATAGAAAACAATCTCATTACTCATAAATAACTATTCCAATCTAATTGAATTTTAACACTCGCAATTCACTCTTAGTAAAAAAACTGATTGCATATTGCGTGACCCTATAAGACTTCACATATTGACATAACTCTAATTTGGGAAAATTTTATTTTTACACAATGTTTTGATAGTAATTGCAACAGTACGAAGGGAGACATTTTTATTGCAAACTTACCAATTCCATGGCATTTATTTGTGATACTGCAAAAATATCAGTTACCCCAAAAAAGGGTTCAACTATCCTTAAATTGCGGGAATAATAGCTTGGCGTTTTTGAAAAAGTCAAAATATATGGCAAGTATATATATCCTAATATCTACCATATTGTTCAATTTCTCAGCTTTATATAAGTCCAAAAAATGTAGGAAATAAATTTGATAATTTTTTATATAGTTATTTATATCTCGATTTATCAATATTTTTTATTTATTTATCAATGATCTGAGAATCAAACCGGTCGGACCGACCACTACACCGGTCTTGGTTGCAGTATAAAACAACTTCGCCTATAAACCGGTAGCGGGTAGTGCGGATAACCGATCTGGCTGATAGCTTTGTACTGAGGTAATTGGAAATTGAGTTAAATAGCTGAAAGTTTTCTTTAGTGTTCCCGATGTGGGATTGGGAGCATTAAAATTCAATAGATTTTCCTGTGGGCTGTTATGTTTGTTTATGGGCCAAGACCAACCTTGGCTTTGTTAAGCAAAGTTGGAGGGCTGCTGTTACTACGAAACTACTCCAAACCCCTGGCCAAATGGATTTACAAATTGTACGTAGAACAAGGTATTCACGCTGAACAAGGCTCAACCTTGTTTGAATAAATCTAAGACAAACTCCCATTGGCTGCTTTTGCAAGCAGTTTTGGTCTTTATTTCTTTTTTCCTTTATTTATTTAGACAAATGTCATTATACACTATAATAAAATTAATAATAAAAATATATTTAATTATATATTATATATATAAAATAAATAAAAAATTATATATTTATTAAACCGGTTCGACCACTGGTCCGACCAATGAACCAGTAGCTTCATCGGTTCGATGGCTGATTCGGTTTTCAGAACAACAACAACAACATAGCCTTTAGTCCCAAGCAAGTCGGGGTAGGCTAGAGATGAAACCCCAGAGAAACACAAAAAAACTCGAACCAAAAGGAAGAGATCGAAAAAAAAAAAAACGAGAGAGAGAGAAAATGAGCAAAAGTCACGGTTCTGGCACGTTGATAGCGAGCCTCCAAGCGCTCCTATCCACCACTAAATCCTTGGAGATATTCCAATCTTTAAGGGTTTTCAGAACATTGATATTTATAGTATATTTTTGGTTAATACATACAAAATACACGACAGAATTATATACAGAAGATATACTCATTATATAAAGACGACGTAAATAAAAATACAACAGAAGATAAATCAATCTTGTCATTATATATAGAATATATAGAGAAAACAAATTAGACCACAAAATTCAAATTTCAAAAATCAATTCCTTTGTTCTGCACATAAGAACGGGCCAGATGAGAAACGTACGAAGAACGGATGACGAAAACATATACTGCATATACACGCAACATATACTGCCGATTGTGAGTTTGTTGGGATCTGTGAGGATCTCGTTATGTACAGATCACGAATTCAATAGCAAACGTAAACCTATGCGCACTTACGACTTAAAATTCTTTGGCGGTCTGGCTGATCTTCTGGATGGCCGTACACGGCACACGAACAAAATGGATCACGAACAGAATGTCTCGGGCTCACGATCGGGATCAACGGGTCGTGTGCGTGGGGTCGGGATCGGCCGTGTCGCACGTCGCGAGGCGTGTCGCGATCGTCCGGGTGGCACGTCGCGGCCGCCGGCTCTTCTGGCTGGTCGCGGCTT